ACTATTGCTGTAGGTAGCCCAGCATTTTTTAGCAGAACATTGTTGTGTTTTGGGCTTTTTCTTTTTTTGAAGTCCAAGGGTGTCATACTGAGGCATAAGATCAATAGGGGAAATGCACATTTCATAGATGTACAGACACGAGATACAGTCAAGGATGATTAATCTTACATTCACAGTCACATTTGCTCCAGATTATTCATGAGAAGGAAAAGAAACAAAACTTAGGGCCTATTATTATCAATCTGGATGACTCTCAGCAGGTAGTTACCAGCGTAGCTTCTTTCACCTCAGCGGGACTGCCTGGATTTACATCTCTCTGAAACCCAGCCTTTTAATCTCCAAATTTCATTGTGCCACATCCACCACAGCAAAGATTAATAAATGACTGAATTAGGAGTTACTGAAGGGGAATCAGTGTTCCATTTAAGAGCTGAAATAGAAAAGAGCTATCCAAAAAGAGATGCAAAATATGGGATTCCCAGAAGGGACCTCAGAGATAACAGTCCTAATGCCTTCTACATCCAGAGGCAAGAGATAACAACATCCTGATAGAGACAAAGTATGGAGATGACTTGCTGCTTAGCAACCAGGTGCCTGAGGTGGACCCCAAAGTACAAAACAAGATGTTGTAAACATCTACCTGTCTTGAAATTGAACGTACAGGCTGATTTTTTTTAAAAAATGGAAGGACTATTCCTAACCATCTCTTGCTTTCTTTATGAGCTTTTATTTTGGTTTCAGGAGGAAAAATTTGAGACAGTTCTATTATCAGACTATGAAAGGGAGCTGCATAAAGGTCTGCACCAGACACCTTTCATAACCTGAATTATAAAGGATGCCCTGAAGCTGGTGCCACCCATGTGGAAACAGTTATTTAGCAGCCGGGAGAATAGCATCCTGGATATAGCTACAGGATTTGTCGTCTTTGCTCCTGAGAGAAGCAGCCTGTCTTTTGTTAGGTGAGGCAGCAGGGGAGATCAAAGAGACAAAATATTTTGCAACCCTGATATTTGATAATGACTGAAGGGCTCTTTAGTTTGATTTGAAAAATGTTTTGTTTTATGCACATGTTGACAAAGGAGGGAGAACTGATGATCAGTGAGCTCAACACTGTGAACTCAGTAGATCTTTTTTTGGGACTGTTAATCTAATTTTGGTCAATTGGATTGCAAACTTACGAAAGCTACAGTACAGATTCTCTGAAAGATAACGTGACTTATTATTTTGAAATACTGTAAATTTGAGAAAGATTCTCTGCCAGAAGCAGGCTGAATGCAAACCATGGTTGAGGGTTATTACAAGCATTTTCTCCACAAAAAATAAACTTGAATCAAACCTGTTAGGAAGTTTCAAGAAATACTGATAGACACTAGACCTCATAAAGACAATGTAATATGGACTTCTTTCTTGATTACTCTTTCTAATACGGCTTGGTTAAAAGAAATCAAAGGAATACATCAAATAGAGCTGTTCAAAAACACAAAAGCAAAAATTATGTTAGATATAAAATTTGAGAGCCTTGCATTTTTCTTCACTTTCATTCATACAAGTATTTATTTTGCATATGCTTCCTACTTTTTATAAACTATTTCAAACTTTTTAGATGGCTGTGATTTTTGAAGTCACATGAAAATATAATTTAGCAGGAAAGGTAATGGGAGCTCAGGGTAAGTCACAATTACAGAAAATCAAATAGAGTGTCTACCCTTTTTATGCCTTAGGACTAAGTAGACAGTTCTGAACATAATAGAGAGAGAAAAGGATTTCCCTGAGATGTGATGTCAATTGATGCACTTAATAAATTGTGTTTCTTCAAATCTATCACTCACTGAACTGCATTACTTTATTCTGTCATATGTGATGCTGAATTTTGAAGATATATAAAGGAATTCAGATCACATAGGAGACTTTTTATATTTTCAGGCCTTAAAACTTCATGTACTTTATTTCACGTTTACCTCACATATTTGCCAGTCCTGGTTCCTTGAAGAGTTAGAAGATGACACACATTAAAATATAGGATAAGTTCAAACCAAGTGCAGGACCAATTGCTGAGCACCAGGCGAATTTTTAGCTTGGTTTAAACCAAACCAGAGTCAGAGATTGAACAGCTCTGCTAAGAAAACTGCCTGTTTGGCTTCATGTGCAGGCTCACCTCTCGATAATTCAGAGGTCTGCTAACCAGAGATGCAAATGCACAGTTGGCAAGAATGTAGTACATCAGGAGAGGGCTGAGGACATGGGATTCACAGAGACCTTTGTGGGGACAGTGACACCTGGGTATCCCTTCAGATTTCATGCTTTCAAACCCTGAGGCTCTTTCAAGGATTTTTGCTGCTACGCTATGTCATGTCAATCAAAGCATTTCATTGTAATTTAGGATTCTATGTGTGAAGCAAAATCACGGAAACAGCCCTGCCTAGAAAAGTTTATATTCTAAAGAGGTCTGAGAATCCATGAGTGGATTTAAAAAATAATATAAGATGGGGAGGAGAATCTGAGGACAATAATCAGAGCTACAAGAGCCAAATAGAGTAGCTGAAGGTACCCGATGAATCACTAATAATATTATTGGTAGGTATTATGGAAAATGTCTCCTCTTTGACTATTTCAGGACAATATTCAAGCAGAAAGTTTGACTTATTTACTTTTCACAGCATTAACATATTTGTTCTAACAACAGCTAAGCAATCTGTTTGGGAAAATACACAAATATAATATATAGCAGTTTCTGCAACAATGGACACTCCCTCTTTGTCTGTAGTGGATTAAAAGGATACAGCTTCCGAGAGAGCTGGCTAGAGCAAACACATCTGCATGATAGGGCCAGATTCTCAGACTGTATAAATCATCTACAACTGAAGTCAGTTTACCTAATTATACTAGCAGAGTATTTTGACTGTTTATTATTCAGAAAGAAGATGGTAGAAAATAAATCAGCTTTGCTTACAAGTTTTATCATGGGTGCTTTTCCAATAAACAATACAACCCCTTAAGTATTTGAAATATCCTTTTATCTTGTTAATGTTATAAGACATGGTACTCCTCTCATCAGCAGGCAAACACACATATTGTTTATGAAATTGCATACTGCCTTTAGGCATGTTATAATCTTATTTTTGCTCATTAAAATGTCAAGGCAGAGCATTTTCAACTCAAAATCTGTAAAAAACCCACTCTTGTCTGTCCTCAAAAATCACTTGCTTTTGTATATCTCAGTTTTAAGAAGAAAATCATTAGACTACGTGCTCACAAAAAGTAAGCACTCCTATTTGAGCTGGTTCCCTGTTGGCTCTAGATCAGTACAGCTAGCTGGAGCCCAGAAATGCCGCCAGGGCAGCTTACATCCTGGTAACATCCAGTCCTTCAACAATGCAAGTAAACAACTGAAGTATGTTCTGAGAGTTGCTAATACAAATTGAATGTTCCTTGACCCAGAAAATGCACTGCACTCAGTAGAGGTGATGCCATTCATCAAGGCTTTGTTCTCTCCCTTATTTGAACTACTTTTGGTCTGAGTCCCTTCTGGTAATAGCCCCTGTACCTGACATTCTTTCTAGCAAATCTACACAACGTCATCTGAGCCATGTGTGTTGAAGTCCTTCTTTTATAACAATGTGAGAGTCAAATAATTTGGAAATTTACTCTAAGAAGCTGCAAGGAAGAAAAAATGGTTCCTTACAGAACATGGATGTTTATCTCACAGCAGAGTGAAATCTGTTGACAGAGCATTTTTAGTCTGCATACTAAACAAAATTTTATAAGGCTTGCAGGATTCAAACTGGCTTGATGGCTCATTCCAGCTCTGTTAATACGCTGAATTACTTGTAGTGAATCTAATGATACTGTTACACCAGTGTAAAGAAAGGGACAGAGAACAGCAAGCAATATTTTTTTTGTTTATTGTGGGTGCAGGAGCAATATAGCAAACAGCTGATATCTGAAAATAAGGGCTTGGTTATATGGTGAGTCAGTGAATTAGGGTAGATAAGTGGGACTCATTTATTCATTTCTCCTGGAAAATAGTTAGGAGTGGAAATGTACAACCAGTCTCGCCATTGGCCCCACACTCCCCCGGAGCCTGTGCTGCTGGCTGGGATGGCTAGCAGTGACTGAGGGGGCAACAAGACCAAGCCTGTTGGGAAGCCACCTGATGTGTTCACGCTGGGTGCTCAGCAGCCTCTCCCTGCTTCGTTCTTCCCATCCACTTCTACTGAGCAGACTGCTAACGTAGGCAAGCACCAAGGGGGAAATTGTTCCTAGATATCAGGGAGCACTTCGGAGCCGAATAAAGTACTCTGCAGGATGGATGCATATCTTTGTAATTGCAAAGCTAGGGATTATGACACAGCTCAAATCACATCTTTCTGATTTTCATGGGAACTTCTTAAATGAAAATTGTAGAAAAGCATTGGTGGTTCCAACAATTACATCAAATAAAGTCCTAGTGAGGGCAGGTGCAATTCCCATTCACAGCAAAAGCAGTGACACATAGCTAACACTAGCAATGAATTTGAATAGCTGTTCTTTTGTTGCCTTCTGTTTTCTGCTTACAGCAGCTAAAGAGTTGTAGTATAGGGGAATTAGGAAAGGAGGAGTGCTGATAACAGAGCTTCCTGATCCCTTGAAGCTTGAACATTCAGTGACTGGGAGAAAAATTGAGATTGTGCTGCAAGATACAGAAAAAAAGATTAATCAAGCTCTGAGGTTGAGCTATTGCACTTATCTCTACCTTGCTTGTGGGGTTAGTATGTGCAGTCACTGAGAATCTGAGTGACTGATAAAAAGCTTTTAACTAGAAACAAAGATTTTTCCCTTAGTCTAATTTCAAACCACAGGAACATCCTGGCTTTAATATCAAGGGCTCATGCTACTGTAGTGGCAACATTGTGAAGTCTCATGATGCTACCACAAGTCTAGAAAACCTCCTGTGCTTTTGGGAATGTTATTTTTATTTAAATGAAAGCTAAATTGTAGCCTTGCTCACAATGGAGAAAATGTTAAAGTCTTAGGAGATTTATTTCAAGTATGTTTCTTAAAGCCTTCTTGTACTTGGTTTAGGGGTTATTTCAGTCCCAATACATGACTTTTCACTGAAGAGTTGAAGTATTGAGTGTAGAACAACCCTAGCTGCAGGGTTTTTTCACAAAGTTTTGTAATGTTTCTTCATAAGGTTTAACTTTGGGCTCATTTACTCTGCAGAAATAAAGTGTAAATAATAAAATTTGCATACGTTCCTCTCTATTGAAATATTTGATTCCCACCTCAGGCAAATGTTATAGCATCCGTGGCATCCCAAGTGCTTTAACTCAGTTTACAGCAGACCAAAGTCAAATATATATTACATTACATATTACCTGTATTTAATTACATTTGAAATCTGGCAATAAAAGAATGAGGATAATCCACAGCAAATTTCAAAATGAGGAGATGGTGATATTTAAGTAAGGGAAGTGATGCTTACTCAACTGCAATCTAATAATTACTTAAGCTTTTATGGTTTTATAGTTTATACATAACAACCAGCCCTTTCCCTTGCTTGGTCCAGTTTTTCCTAAGTAAACAGTCACATACCATTGCCCCATTTCAGATTCTCTCATGAGCTTAATACGAGAAAGGAAAGTTGGATCTGATCTTAAAACCTGATGCCAATCTTCTATGGCCCTGTATATTCTCTCTTAGGCATGAAGGGCATAAAACCTGCTGATCTGAGAGGTAGTTTTAACAGTAAAACTCTGTAATTAGCTGTGCAAAATGCTAAATTTTGCCAATATTCTTCATTTTCTCCAAGTCACTTTTCTACACATAAAACCTATTTGGGATGTAATAGTCCCAGATTTCCACTGGTCTTTTAGGTAGCCAAACATGTAGGTGTCTTCCAGTCTGAATGAAAATGGGCATGAAATCTGTATTTTGGCTAATGAAAAGGGTGCCCATCTTGTCTGGGAATTATTTAACCACATGAACCCAGGATGGTTCTCAGTGAATTTCAGAAAGGGATATCAACTTGTGCAGAGGTGCCTCCCAAATATGTGAAGTTAACTTGCTCAACTCCTTCCTGGGTATGTGTCCTCTGAGCATTCTGGGAGGGAACGCACAGAACACATACAGTTTAATGCCCTTTAGTGTTTTTCTATAAGTTTGGGCAGTTGTAGCCTAAATGCTGGACTATTATTTTTTTGAAAACCTGAGTTTTCTGCTTGGGGGAGGAAAAGCTGTTGGTAGATCCCTCAGCTGGTAAATGGCTATGCACAGGAGAATGGGATAAGGATAGTAAATGCAAAGCTTCTTAAAATTACTGCATACATTATCCAAACTAGCAGGACTGTTGTTTCCTGATAAAACAAATACTGTAATGCACACCTTAGGTTTCCTTCTCTGGCAGGAACAGCATTTTGAAATTTAATTAGCTTCATGTGGCACAGTAGAAATGGATAGCAAATCAATAATGGATGCCATTTCAGTCACCTTGTGGTGTTGTAATTCTCTGTGTTTTGCTACACTAATTAGGTCTGACTTCAGTGAGAAATGTTTCAGGAGCAAGGAGGTGAATTATTGCAGAGCTCCTGGCTGTCACTGGGGAGATGAAGTAATCTCAGAACTGACTAACCTCAGTGATTTCAAGAGCCAGTAACTTAACATCCAAGAGGAAAAGTGAAGAGCTCACATTCTGATGGTGCAGTTTATAGTGAGTTTTAGGCTCAATCAGTCCATGGCCTAGGCTTCAGCTGAAAGAGCATCAGAAACCATAAACTGCACTTACCTTATAGTTGACATTTAATTACTTAATTGCTCATATTTTCACATCCTCCTAGAGACTGAGAATTTCTTGCAAATAGGTCTTTCCTTCCTGTGGATCCAGGTGGAGAGAGGTGCATGTGGGATGGGCCACAGGTTCGGGTGCCTCCCTGCTCCCAAAAGCCATTGTGAATGAAGAGATCAGGAAGTAGAATGCAGTTTTGCTTCCATGTAGCAAATCCAAACACTGGATTAACTGGAGCAAACAGCAGCTCCTTTTCCATTTATTTGACTCTGGGATTTTAGTGTGAAACACTGGGTAGAGAGCTGGTTTCTCCCTCTCCAGGAACAAGCTGCTTGCTTCTGAAGGTGGAACAGAGGCTTTCCCCAGAGTGTCTTGACTCTCCTCTCCAACTGTGTGCTGTCAGCAACATCATAAAGAAAATGGATGGATAAAGAGCAGATCTAGGGAGAGCAAGTATTCTGAGGCCGCTAAGTCAGTGTGACGTACCAGTTCTATGCTTTTTTGGAAAAGCATGTAAACTCCCTCCCTTTATATTAGCATGAATTATGATTCCAAATAATCATTGCTTCTAACATAAACAGTTTCTAATATAAACCATTCCTGCTGGTTACCACAGAGAGCCTGAGCAGCATGGAAAATTTCAGTTGTTACATCACAGTCACCCAGAGAATAGCAGTGGTGATTGAAATTATTTTGCAGTGGTTTGAATAATGCTGAGTGAAAGGTGATACAGAATTATTGCACTTCATAGAGAGCAAACACAAAGCAGACTCAGAGCTAGCTTTCCCTTTACCTGGCCTCTCCTTGTGGGATTTTGGAGCAGACAAACCCACAAATTCTTGTGGCTAATTTCTTAATTATTTCAGTGACGCATCCAGAACCCTTCTCAGCCTTATACAAAACTGGGGAAGAGAATGAAAAGTGAGAGGATGTCTGATATGGAACAAGAGCATTTACAGATAAAGAGTCTGAGTTAACAACTCTAATTCAGTAATGCCTTATTGTGGTGCTTGATACTCTGACGATCAATACACAATACAATATACGAGAACATATGTGGCTGTGTGTTACCTAGTATTAAATTAAAACATTAACTATCAATTGGTCAGCTAATTACACTCTTGCTGCTGTTAAGATTTCTGTCCTTAAAAAAATGAATAAAAGTAGAGTTTCTTAGTCAAAGCTAATGAAATGCATATAATCTAAAATATATATCATATAAAATGTATATAATCTTTGTTTCTGCCAAAGTCAAGACATTTAAGTATATCAAATATATTTACTGAATTCACTTGCCGTGTATCACCATTTAACAGCTATTCCTGTAATGGCTTTACATACTGATTAAGTACTCTTAGGGGATGAATAATACTCTAATTTCCCTCATACTTGAATACAAAGGGTGTATTCTCCCATGCCTACAACTTTCAGCAACACTTCTTTGCTGTTGTACCTGCAAATAAAGACCAAAAGAAGCATTCATTAGGACTATCAAGTTTATTGTCAATCAGAAAACATATGTAGGGTAGGTTGTTTTCTGATTGGGATCTGTTTTCTTTGCTCAGAAATTACTGGTTTAACTTTAAGGTCAGTTTTATTGTTAAGGTCTGACAGTAGCTCCCAGGTTCACTTGGCAACAACACACCCCAAAACCAGGAGCCTTGCATTGCTCTTAGAGTAGAAAAAAACCAATAGTAATTATAACTGTTTTATTTGTTGCAGCTGCAGAAACTGAAACGATCCCTCTCCTTCAAGACTAAAAGCTTGCGGAGTAAAAGTGCAGATAATTTCTTCCAGAGGACTAATAGTGATGTGAAACTGCAAGTAGACTTGATGCCTGAGGTGAGCACAAGCACTGGGCAGCTCCCCAACTCAGACAGCCAGGCATCTTCACCCACCAGAGCCCAACAATTGCCAGAAAATAGCAAGACACACATCTTCCAGGAGCACATCTTCAAAAAACCCACCTTCTGTGATGTCTGCAACCATATGATTGTTGGTAAGAAACATTTTATTTAAAATCTCATTGTGTGTCCATGCTAGAACTTGCAGGATGACCTTTAACTTCTGTGAGCCCAGACGTCTCCTTGAGAATATTCATGTGGATTCTGGATTTATGTCATTTCTGTCACAGGCTAATAGAAATTCTACATTTGTTGATAGATGTCTTGCCTGGTAGACACATATGTTACCACACATTACAGGTGAGGGATTCCGTTGGACTCAAACTCTTCTGTCATTCAGGTTATACTGAGCACCAAGTTGTATGCTACACTAGAAGCAGCAGAAATCCATATTGCAAATGAGTCCACTATCCTCACTCTTTTCCACAGCAGTAATTTTAACTTTCTTCCTCCTCGTGTCTGCCCTCACACCCTGCATCGCCCCCAGTTCCCTTTCACTGTGGTGACCATACCTACCTCCCCCAGCTGTCCCTTAAGGGACAAGAAGTAGCATCTGCTGGGTGGTGGGCTCTTATCTGCTTGTGTGGGTGTGGGTGTTGGCTGTCTAGGATGAATATTTTGGGAGACCAGGTCAAAAGCCAGATATAACAGCTGAATTTACACTGCAGACTTTCTTGGGATTCCTCTAATGGATCCCTCCTATGCACAAAACCTCACATTAAATTTATACCTTTGAAAGATAGCCCTATATACTCTCTGGAGTCTATGAGTATGTAAGTTCTGGCCAGGGACTGACTGACAGACAGGAGATAATTTTGTTATTGTCTCTAGTGTGCATAAAAAACCTCCCTGCTGAGCCCTGCTTGTAAGGTAATTTTCAGTGCAATGTGAAGACCTAAAAAGCCAGCTTTCATGCAGATCATCCATGGGGCTGTGCAAGGAAAGGTCAAGAGAGAAGTGCAAGTGCCTAGAGGTGTAGAACCTGTGTGGCCACCACAGTGGGAAGCTGCAGGAGTTGCTATTCAGAAATCTGATCCTGGAAATTCACATCCTTGTGGCTAGTGTTGTGCACATGATTTGGTCTTCCTGCTTACTTACCATCTGCTTGTCCCAGCACAGTAGAGCAGGAGTAAATTCAGTGTCAATTTACCTATGTGAAAGTGAGTGACAAAATTTCCAAGCTTTTAGGCAGGAAAAGGAGCTAAACATGTTAATGATTTAGCTTCATGTAGAAGTGGTACAGGTCTTTGAGTACAAAATATTGTCTGCAATTTACATTATTTACTGTAAGAAACTTACATCCCTTGGCATGGAAGTCACTGCCTTTTAGGTAACAGTATGGTAAAATCTTGAAAGATGCTAATAGGACTGATAAACATTTTTCAAATGAGGGGGCTCAGTGTTCCCCACTTCTGTGAGGAATTTGTGGTCTTTGGAAAAGGCAGCTGTCTACAGAACATTAAAATTGATGCAAGACAATCTTGTTTCCATAAATTAACTTAGATTCTCACTTCACCACAGCTGTACTGAATCCAAGGAAACTAAGGAATTTTAATCACTTTTGTTTTCTGTCACTTTCCAGTCTTTTAAGGGTTTTTTTTTTTTTCTACTTGAAGTGGTAAAATAAATGAAAGAGAGAAGCAGTAAAGTAACAGTATCAGGGAAGTTCAGAATTTGACAGGAAATCTGGAAAAGTAGTTAACTGAAATAACTTTATATATGGGAAAAGGCCCAAAATTTCTCTTCTTCAGTAATGTGGATGGATGTTCTATCAAAACTTATTTTCACAAATATATACTGCAAATATAAGTTTCTTGAATTTCTGGCAGCTTCTTGTGAAGTTGTATGGAGATAAATATCATCGCAAATCTGCATGACTCAGCAGTAGTGTTTCAAAATAGTGCTGCTCATGACGGATTATTGCTGGCAGCAAACTTTGCAGAGAGTAAATCCAGTTCATAAACACTCCTGCCCTTCTCCTTTGCTGGACAATCTGTGTCCGCCTGGAATAGGAAAGTCCTGAAGCACAGCTCTAAGCTTCAAAACATCAGCTTTAACCTCCTGTGCTCTCTGAATTTTTTTCTGTTCTCTCTGCTGAAGGCTTTGTTTTTCTGTTTTGTATCTTAGCCACTTCATTAGCTAAAGAAGCCTTTTATAATTGCTGAAGAAGCTAATGTGACCTATTTTGTCTGGTAGCAGTCTGAGTCAGGTGAATTGCTCTGACCTCCTCCAGCTCATCTTTGCTTGGAGGGAAGGCAAAGATGTTGAGAGTTTTACCTTAAGATGCCTTAGAGTATTGATGCCCTGATTTTTATAGACAAACATCTTCTCTATTCCTGCCATCTTCTCTCTTTGATCCTTACTGCAGTCATGCCTGGTTTTATATTGTATTTTAAGCAGTGTGGTAGATCTCGATGTTAACTGTTTGTCATTCAATTAATCTATATAAGTTGTGCAACTATGGGTTATAGGAATAGAGAAGCAAAACAGGCAGGTTTCAGGAAACCCGGTCAAGCCTGCTCCCAAAGACAGACTGAAAAAGCCTCATTTCTGTTTGGGGACTCTGACTATTTGAAACATAGAGCTGATTTGTTCTCTCTATTTGCATTTTTCACAGGCAGTGACATTTAAGAGTAATGAGTCTATGACTTTAAATTCCTCATTGATGAGAATAAAGGCAAAGACAGATACATGTTTTGAAGGCTGGAGGAAAGATTCCAGGAAAATTGTGTCTTGACTTTAGATGGTTTCAATTTTGCCACCAAGAATGATTCCAGGTTCACCTTAAATGGCACTCTGATCTATGAACTAAGCAGCTCTGGTACATGGCAGTGTAATGAACCCTGCACAGCATGAATGTGCAGTGACTGCTTCAGTCTCACTCATGTGGCAGAACCCGTCTGTAGCTTCAGAGTGAGCAGGACACATGAAGCAGAGGCAGCAAGTTCCCTGTGCTGCTCTTTTCACAGCAAAATTAAAGAACTTGAAACATTATCTTACTAGAAAAAAATACGCGCATCATCTCTCTTTGATCCCTGGGCACTATGAGCCAAATATTGCCTTTGGGATGCAGTGTAATCAGTGTATATATATATATATATATATATATATATATATCAGTAAATTTACTCTTTCAAATGTTTTGCATACATCCCAGAGTACAATACAACATATTGAAAAGAAAATGCATTTATTGATGTGATGTCAAAAAAGAAAAGAAGTATTGATAGTGTGCTTCATACCACACTTTAAAGGCAGGAGTTGGAGTGTTCCTATTAATTGTGCTAGACTGGAACTCAAGTTTCACCTCAGTAAACAGAAGAAAATTTGATACAGAAGCAGTAATTTTCTGTCAAATGAAATAATGGAGGAAATTTCACATTTGAGGGAGCTTTGAAGAGTGCATGCAGAATCCATTTTACATTAATGGGGCCTTCTCACAGCATCTAATTCTCCAATAAAACCATCATTTCTAATAATGAGTTCCACAGTAATAATTCACATAATTTCAGAGCAAAGCAATAGTGTGTTGGAGCAGACTCTGCACTCCTTTCTCCCACTCACTGTTTTGCTGCTGTGAGTGCCTGGCATAGGTTGGTTTAGGACTGGGGTTTCAGCTCCACAGTGGGCTACATATTTTCCAAAACATATCCACCCTTGAACATCCTCTCACAGCATGTCTCTTAGAAAACCATTAATTTGCTA